ACCCCCAGAAAAGGATGCTGTAAGTTTTTGAATGTGCACGACCTGTGGACAAAGCTGCTTGATGCATGCTCAAGCAGCACACACACTCCACATCACCCCTGGCTTTTGACACTGCCTATTAACCAAGCTACGTATGCAATTTATTCCTAAATTGTGTTTCAAGCGGCAACTCTCTCCAGCTTTTAAATAGGTATGATTTTTTTTTTTGCCTTTACATAAAAACCCAAAGAGGCACAATTGTTAAGGCTACCACTTATAAATATCTTAAAGGTTGTATGGAGGATTTTTTTTGTTTCAAATTGTCAATGATAGCATTATAGAGGTGCAGTAGCCTTGTAATTATGATGACCAAAAAAAAGAGAATAAAAATTCATCAACTCTGGACGTGGTGGGGCCAGCTAAACATTTGCCAGTAGATAACAACACTGCCTCGTTATCTGTTAGCTGACAGGCTGTCAATCAATCTCCCTACGTTTCTAGCGTAACTGACTTGCCTGCGCGCCGCCGGTACGTGGTTTACGTACGCCTGTCACGCAGTCCACAGATGCAAACCGCACAGACGCTGTTTACTCCACCAACGCAACAGTTCTTAGCGGCTTTTTTTTACCTATATCTTCCTCGCAGTTAGCACAAAGTTTGTTGCAATGGCAGACAAGAATCCAGGAGCAGTTAGCCGCAAAAGAAAGTCCGTTTTTGAGGTCGCTGAAAGAAGAAGACAAGGGGAAAAGCAGCGAAGCCAAACTAAGGTGATTCTTGGAGATTTATTCCAGCGATGGCGCAACTGAAGCAGACGCAGGGTCTAAAGACTGACGCACTGGTCGCCAAATTACTCCTGGACAGGTCACTTCTGCTTATTATGAAAACTTACTTTATTTCCAAGAGCTAGACAAACGTTTTCAGGACACGAAAGCGATATCCTATGTCTGAAAACTTAATTTTCAAGGCAAAGAAAGAGTCCGCTTGCTGCTGCGTGTTGTAGCTAGTTCATTCGCACTGAATCTCCGCGCAACCTTCTCTGCACCCCTTTCCTGCTCCTCTCCCCGCTGCCCGATCCGCTCTTCCCCCTGCTCCTCACTTCTCCGGGCACGGAATCTCCGCGCACCGCTCCCCTCTCCTCTCTCCTCTCCTCTCTCCCCGCTCCGCTCTTCTCCCTGCTCCTCACTTCTCGTCCGCGAACGAAATGTCCGCGCACCCGCTCCCCCCGCTCCTCACTTCTCCGCCTTGCCTAACCAACACTGTAGTTAGTTGTTTACAAGTCATGTGCAGCTCACCGGCTGTAAACAAACCTGTTTCTGGCGTAAAGAGGAGGCGGGAGGAGGCGTTTCTACGTAGGGAGCTGTAGGGGAGGGGGGGATGGTTTCACGCATGCGCAACATTTGAAAAAGGACAAACAGTCGCTGGATTTCTCTTTCCTTGGAAAATCCTCTATACAACCTTTAAGCATAAGCAGCTATGTTCAGTTATGAGCCATAGAAATTAAAAGTGCAAATTGCAGTGTAAAAATCTTGGTAAAATTTAAATGTAAAAACTTGAAACCAAAGTGTGTGGAGCATTCTAATGAAGCCATTGAGGGGGATTAATATGCTGGGTAATTGCTGGATCTCGTCTTCCTCTCTAAAGCCCCTTTTTAATCAACAGTCAGCTCATTACAAAACCAGGGGATGTAGGGCGAATAAAATGCTGTTGGTTTTAGGAGGATGGGTGGTCAGTGAGATAAGACTATAAGACACCCCGCTCGTCACGTTCCATCATTTTAGGATAACTGAATGAGCAAACTGTGAATATGTGGCCTCTGCTGCTGACCTGTACAGCCGAAGTATATTCTGTGCACTATAAATTTCTCAGTATATCTTAAGTGATATTACACAGAACTGAAGTGATCATGCGATGGAAAAGAGGCATTGCCATTTTGTTCCTTCAGTGAGTAGAAAGGCACAAACAAAGGCACCAAAACAGACTTGCAACATTTGCATCATAAACAGTTACAGAGCTGAACTCTGAAAGACTTGTCTTTGGAGACATTTTTTCATTTCAAATGCCCCTTAAACATGCCATACTAATAGGAATATATAATAGAATTTTAGGACCATTTGCATTTTGCTACTCAAAATACAAAATATTGTTCCTCTTTGAGGAATGTACAAACTTACTTGAAAATTTTATTTAGTATTATTTGAAAAGTACCATACTATAGTAGCTAATTTGGCATTTGACACAGAAAATCTGAATATCATTATGGCAATAATTGTACAGTTTATAAATAAATACAGCCATGCTATTAAGAACCCCATTTAGCCAAATATACCAAATTACTAAGTAGAGACAAAAAAGGAGCATAGCTGCCATTACTTCAAGCTATTTTTCAGTTTGGTGCCAAATTACAATTATTATTATTATTATTATTATTTTTTTTTTTTTTACCACACATGTTGCAGTTTATTACATTTTAAAGGTCAGAGAGGACTTTTTGTGAAGATGTGTGATTGCAGGTGATGTTTCTGACGACATGGTGCTTCTAAAAGGCTCATTAGTGTCTCAGATAAGGTCTTTCCCGCAGGAATGTCACTGCCTCAGCATCGCTAAGTGAATGCTGACAACTCTAACATTAAGTCCAGTAACTCAATGCTACAACATGGTGTAATCATGAAAAGGAGGCCATACCTGTGCGTCACCAAGCAACAAGCGACATTAAGGTTGAAGGTGACAGTTGTGTTCAGTGCTGTGGAGCAATCAGACAAGAAGACTTCAAAACTACTTTAAGTGGTTTACTTTTACTTAGAAGGCTATGCTCGGACTACTGCCTCCCTACATTTGTACTTGAATCACACAGAGAATTTTAATCATACAGAGAAGTAAACATAGAATTGAGGACCCCCTTGAAAATGAGATGGTGACACATCTTAAGGGGCTTATCCTCCAAAAAAATAAATTCAAATTCAAAAGTACCTGGACGACTGAGGGGTTACACAGACACACAGAGAATTATTCACTCTTACTTCTTAAGATCAGCTGTTGCTTTCTGTTCCTTATGTTCGCACAGAGCTGGGTAAGAAAGCCTTTGTCCACTCAGTTCCTTTTGCATGGAACCTGTTGCAGAAAGACTGGAAATTGACTGAACTTGTAAATCTGTTGTAAACTCCATAAATCCTTTTAAATCTAAGGTGAAGGTATTAGGGACTGCCTCAATAATGAGCACTTGTTTTTCCTAATATGTGATCCTCATGTCATTTTATTGTTGTTTGTATACTGTCTATGTGTTGAAGTCACTGTGAATGTCAGTTCTGCCATTTTAAGAAAGTCAGTGGACCTACTTTACAAACCATACTGTTTTAGGTTAGTATTGTGGTTTATAATAAGCATAAAATAAGGATATATGCATGTGATAATCTAAAATGTCTTATTTAATTTACAGCCAAACTCAGGAAAATTACAACAACTAGCTATACTATGTGTGCACAGGCAGTATCGATGTCCATACTGACTGTGGTCTGCATTTCAGCCTGAGCCTCACTTGTCTAAATGGTTATAAAACAGTGGGGGTCCTGTGCAGTAATATTCTCCCGGGTGCCGAGCAGACGTTCTCTCTAGTTTTAGCAAACTCATGCTGAGCTCATTCAACCAACTCAAACACTCACTTTAAACTTTAGAGAGGATTTTTCTGCTGACTTTTGTGATGTGTCACTACAAAAAGTGAAAACTGTATTTCAAAACCACATTGCTTTAATCAAGGAAAAATATCTAAAAGAAAAAAAAAATTCAAACTGGGTGAACTGGGGAGGTATTTGCTGATTATAAATGGTAGTGCAAACCCAAAGCCCAGACAGTGAATTTTGAGTTAGTGCCATTAATAAAAGTCTGTTTGCCAGTTGCATTACACTCATCCACATTCAGCAAAACAGAATTTAGCCCAGCCTGCTCTTATACAAAGCCAACAAAGGATTTCACAGCAAATTGATGTGCTCCATTTACAATGTCCCTGGCTGAGTATTGATAAAGCCCCAATAAATCAAGGCAATCACAAGGAGATATGGGTACGGCTTGGCAGAAAATCCCCATTGGATCATAAAAGTACTGCATCTAATGCATCTGTCTACACTGCCAGACTGTTCAGTTTCAGACATTCAGTTCTCTACAGCGATTTTGAGTTATACACCAGACATATGTAATGTATTTGCATGTTATATTGAATTATATTGATAAGATATAACGTATTTAGATGACCATGTAACCTTTTATTGTTTTGAAAATGCTATATTCGCAGACAACAATGTTTTAACGTGTTTAATGAGTTTCAGAGAGCTATCACATTAAAATCTGTTAATGAAACTACTGCACATCATATCAGGTTTGTGAAGTAGAGTATGGTCCAAAAAGTCATGTTCAGTCAGTCAGTTACATAAAAAATAAAAAAAAAATACAAACAATAGTTCATAATTACTTATATACTTAAAAATAACTATCATCTTTGACTTGGAATATGGTGTAACAAAGGATCCAACATCCAACACATCCCCTGGTTTACCTCAGAGTGTGTAGAACAAAGCAGCTGCTAACACTAGAGGAACAACCCCAATTAGACAGGAGGTGTGTGGTAGTGAGAGGTAACAGCAGAGTAGAGCACACCTGGGAGGCCTGGTGCAGGGCGCAGGGTTGATGCCTCAGCCTGAGCTTTGTGAGATATATCAATGACACATATATACAAGTGTCCAGTCCTGACCATTCTGACATGTGCAAGCGCCCTGTTCAAAATGTGTTGCTGGCATCAAAATATTGGAAAAATACTCTTCACTCTTTTCAAATATTCCTTCCAGTAATTATTATGAAAAGAACTCATTTTGCACCAGCTACACATGGAGTTCTGATGAGTACCAGTAGGTGGAGGAAATTCAAAAAGCCCCCCTTATTATCCCCCAAAGTCCCTCCTCCAAGTGTCTGGAGGGAAAACTTCTCTAACAAACTTTTTTGCATGCCACAGAGGAGAAACATATGTGAGAGTTAACAGGCAGGAGAACAAAGCTTTTGGGGAAAGAGCCGCTTCTAACAAATTCTTGCCTAATCAAACTCCATGTATTCATATTTACTGAAGTTTATCATGTCAGAGTAATTCACAGCTGCTTGAAGACATGGATAGATCTTTTTATTTGATTTTTATTGTTTCTTTTCAACTTCAAAGCTGTCCTTCCAGCTGGGCTGCTATGGACTCATGTTACGATGACGAAGGCAACCCTTACCGCTGCATGCCCGAGTTTGAGAACATTGCATTCAATCGCACAGTTATAGCTTCCAATGTGTGCGGCTCCCCACCTGAGGACTACTGTATGCAGACCGGCTCGACCCGCTCCTGCCACATGTGCGATGCCTCGGACCCCACACTCAGTCACAATGCCAGTCTGCTCACAGACTTCAACAGGAATGATGACCCCACATGGTGGCAGAGCCAGTCTATGTTCTATGGCATCCAGCACCCCAACTCTGTCAACCTCACGCTGCATCTGGGTAAGGAAAAACATGAGCAGACTTTAAGCTGCAGCTGAGCTATGCATTGGAGTTTTTCAGTGCTTGTTTAGTCCATTTATGAGTTGCGAAGTATTTTCCAGTATGAAGTTTTGCTATTTCAATATTCACTTACTTTATTTGAGTTTTGTTAAACAAATACTCCAAATTCACAATGTTAGATGTAGTACAAATATCGTACAAAGCACTTTAATCTAAGTGCATTAAAAATTTTAAGAATTACATTTAAGTGACAATGTGAGACACTGACACAGGAGACAGTGCACTATACAATATGACTTCAGCATTTATTGCAAGACTATATATTTAAAATTAAACCCCTTGTTGTATGAAGTTCAAAGTAAGCACATGATAACCTGCCTAAAATTATGCAGGAATAAGTCTGTGATAAGGATAGCAGGGCAATCTACAGAATCCATTTACATAAAACACATTTTGAATTCAAAACATAGCCTTACTAGGGGGAGGTAAATCTCATTAACCCCCAGCTAGAGTCCTTTTTGCATAGCCAAAGACTTGGTCAGCAGGTCTGCTTTTATTACAAATTATGTTAATTCTACATTTATTCCACTAAAAGTTTTCAAAGAACTTTGGGAAAATCCACCTCATTAATGCACTCCCCACTGAGTAATTTACTGAGATGTGACAGACATTTGTAAAAATGTAAGTGTATATAATTAATGTATATGTTTTGTTGACTAGTTTCAAATCAGTAAACATTGCATAACCAAACAGTGCAAGAACTGTGTTTCATCTGGCATACCTGTTTTCTTTGACAAAATGCATCCCTTATTATTAAAACTGTCACTGCTCATTTGGCCAAATTTAATGAAACACAGCTTGAAATATTAGCATTATTATCCCATTACCAGGCAGTGGAAAGTGTTGAAATAAAAACCAAGAAAATTTGTCATAAATGAAATTGCTGCACATCTCTCTACAAAATCACCCTTTTCAGTTTAATTTTGTTTTGAAATGTGTTGTGTACCTGTCCCAATATGAGTGCATGAACTTAATATAGGTCTTTTAAAATATCCTTTGATTCTCCCTATGTTTAAATGTTTATAATGAATATATTAAAATTCAAGAACTAACCCTTGGGCTTTGCTTTGCCTGGAAGCCATCTTCAGATCAGAGAATCTGAACAGAACACAATCATGTGCTTTTAAACAGTATAAAATTCGACATCATATAGCACCTTTGCAGGTGTTTTTAAGCCAGATAAACATCACCTGTTGGTACATGAGGTCAGACCGTCATATTTTCATATAAATATGATCTCCTGAAATACAATACCCTTTGAATAATGCCCCTGTGCCACCCCTTTTTTTCTTTATGAAAGCTCTGTAACCCATCTGGAGCTCTGGTGGGAGGTGTCTGTGACATGGCTGTTTTCTTTTGGCTCTCCAAACAAAACAAGCTCCCCTCTGAAGGGAATGCAGGCCATCGCTGGGCAGATAAACACAGAGGTTTGATGCGTAGACACACACATCCTGCAGCCCAAACAGCAAGGGTCCGATGCAGGCTAGAGAGAGGAAGGGGGGCTTCACAGGGAGTAAACAAAATGGAACCGAGGAAGAGGCCGGTAAAAATGCACAGGAGTAAAAAATCGGGGTCAGATTCTTTCCCACAGAAATACACATTCAAATAACACAGCCGTGTCTACAGATGGTTCTCATTGAGAGTCGTCAAAGGAAAGAAACATCCTGTTCCAGATGTAGAACGATAAAGGACTGGTTTGTATGCTTGGGGTGGCTTACAATTTGTGTTAAATGATTTTAAAGTGGTTACAATAGTACAACATAAATCACATTTGAAGTGTTATGGATGCACAGCATAAATATTGATAGTGTAGTGAAGAGGATCACAGAAGTTTAGTCTGACAGACATATGAAGTAATGTTGAGTTTGCATAGGTGAGTCAGGTCAGGTCATGCACCAAACTATATGCTCTACTTTCTTTTGGGACATTTTAAGAGAGAGCTTAGTAAAAAAAAAAAAGAATAGTGATTATCAAATTTAATAAAAAATCTCTAAATAATTTTCCCACTAACCTAAAGATTGATAGTTTGATACCACCATTGTGTGTTTTCTGTTCTATTCTATATCTTATTTCTTCCTTGTCTTCCACTCCACTTCAGAATACTGGCTTTAAACTTAGTTATGATGTGAAATGTTTTTCAATGTTTTAGACATTCATGTAGCAGGTGGAGTTGGAGTGTTCTCCCTAATTATTTGTTACCTCTGGGTGTTTGGTCTACCCAAAACATGAGCAACAGGCTCCAGCAAAAGTCCAGCCATATTCCTGGTTTGCCCACTGCTCCTGACAGGTTATCTGCAGCCCTGGTTGGATAGGTCATATGCTCATCTATGCAATTACAAATCTCAATGTTTGTTATAGTAGTCTACAATAATCTTTTGCAATTTGTTGTCTTTCATCCCAGGTAATATACCTGGGGATACATCCAACAAATGTTTCATCATCCTCAGCTTTTATCCTTTACACCAGCAGTCCCAGCAGAACAGAGCTCATCTCATGCAAGTAGTAAATAAAACCAAAATGATCTCTGAGCTCCTGGAGGAAAGGCACAGTTAAATAGTGCTGTAGAGACAAAAGACAGTGATGGCCATGGCACAGAAAGCAACAGATGTCAGAAAGGCTGTGTCGGTGGAAGCCATGTCACAGTGGGGACTGTGTGGCTTAGTTTATCTAATGGAGGAGAAAAACACAGTGAGACAGAAACAGAGAAGCCTGTTAATAGAGTTTCTACACAGACCCCTTACTGTGGTCAAGACGACTGGAGCTTGTGCTCTGCCCAGTTAATCCTTCATCAAATTGGAGCACACTCTGCCACAATCTGTCTATGTCTACCAAAACACTTCTGCTCCTAACCCCACTGAACACTGTTACTGCTGCATTCTGTCAGAGTATTAGGGTAAAAAGAAACACTTTAATATGTTAGGAATAATATTTGTGATTAATTTAGCAGCATTTATGATTTCCCAAATTATGATTTCAATTAAGCATCTCTTTTAGTTCTTTACACAAATCACTTTTAATAGTGAAGCTTCTAGAATCACTTTAGTTTAAAACTGAGGGAAGATAGGTCAGAATTCTCTGTAATTACTGAGCCTATCCACATGAAACTAAAAGAAAGTTCAACATCATCTCTGTCAGCATTTAAAAAAGAGTGAATTATTTTCATTAACACTTTTTGTCAGTTGAAAGGAGTCCTAAGTCATAAGTCATAAGATAACAGTAATATGGTAAATTTGTGGAGCCAGTCCCTAACAGATAATGATAAGGTTCATCATTTGTGGATCATCAGTTTTGATATTTCTTTCAAAAGCTATTCAAAATTAATTTCCCATAGAGTAACTCTCTGACCTCCATCTGAAATGTCTATTCTAGATCATTCTAGAACATGACGCAACCTGTTATTTGCAAGCTGTAACAAAAATGCAGTATTTGGGTGTTTTGTATTAAGTGGATTTTTCTTTTCTCTAGTTACTGTAAAATAATTTGGTTTGTCTTTTTCCCTTTGACCTATGTTTTACTTCTGGGGCCTATTATTATGTGGATAATGAGAAAATAATCCCACGTTTTATTCCTCTCCTGCAGGGATGACATTCATTTACCCTGTGTCAAGGCAGGGGAAATTAAGCCTATCCCCCATTGTTTTCTCTCTTCCTATAATGCAATTATTATATCAGATTTTTTTGTAGCTTGTGGGCTTTCGACAGCTTTGTTTGTGTGTCTACCATAACATGGCCTAAACTGCAGTGTAACTACAACACACTTCCGACTGCATGTTTCTTGCTATATTCTGACTAAATCATATCTGTCTCCCACAGGAAAGGCCTTTGTGATAACCTACATAAGATTAAAATTCTACACCAGCCGGCCAGAGAGCTTTGCCATCTACAAGCGTACGGAAGAGGACGGACCCTGGATACCATACCAGTATTACAGCGGTTCCTGTGAGAAAACATATGACAAAGCTGCCAGAGGTTATATTCGCCCAGGGGAAGACGAGCGGACCGCTTTGTGTACGGATGAATTCAGCGATATCTCACCGCTCACTGGAGGCAACGTGGCATTTTCAACCTTAGAGGGACGCCCCAGTGCCTACAATTTCGACCATAGTGTGGTGCTACAGGTGAGTTAGTCATTTGTTTTCAGATATAAACATTTTTCTACATAGAGGCATGCTGAGTATACCCTGTTGTGACCTTATCTGTTGCACAGGGTCACTATGAATTCCAAAATATCCTAACAAACTCCAGATCTTTACATACAGAGTTAGGAAGGGAGTTAAAAGTGACATAAAATTATAATAATAATATATAATTATAATCCAAGGATTTAGTAAATGTCTAAACCCAAGATTATATATATATATATATATATATATATATATATATATCTTGGGTTTAGACATAAAAGGGTTAAGCTCTAATTAAGTCTTAAATATTTTCAATTAAATCTCCTGAGTGTATGTGTGTAGTGATTTGTATGTATGTCTTCGCCTATCCATTAAAATCCCACAATGTACAAATAAACAATATAATTTTAGACAGACATCAATACAGCCATCTTTCCCAACCTAAATGCAACCATGTGAGAAAAATGTAGAATTATTTTGTTGAAATTGAAACTCTCAATAAAATACATAATGCATGAAAATCTATACAGCTCCAAGAATAAACGTAATCAGTTCAACGTCCCAGCCCTTCGCTTCAACATCTTACATATCCAAATATTGAGGATAATTCCTGCCTTGAAGCCGATTATTTCCACATGCAGCTATAGGGAATCTAATGTTATGTTTAGCTATGGTTAACAGTGGAAGGCAGGCAAACGCTGAATTAATGGCAGCCTCTAGAGGGGGGGCACAGTAGGGGGCGGGTACAGTAAAGCACGGCTAAAAAGAGTAAATAAGGCACTTAATGCAGGCCCTCCTTCCTGTACGCAACACACACAGATTATCTACATGTGAGAGCGCATGAGCTTCATACTGAACATGCCTGAAGGAAATACTGGAGAAGAAAATATGCTTGAATTGTAAAGGATTATGTCTGGGTTTATTGTTTGTATACTGTTGAGTGACAATATTTAGAATGCATGGCTGAGTTGACTTACGTGTCAAACTTACTGCAAAAAACATTTTCCATACATCTTTCAAGCCACTCTGAGACCGATACCATTCTTTCCACTTCATAGAATTTAGAAAACATATTCCACATTTAGCTTCCCTTTGATGTCATTATTTGCATGATTGGATTTGTATTTTATCTCAAAAGTACAATAAAACCCTGCCATGGACTTGAAAAACATCAGATTATTCCAGAAAATATTTTGCGCTTTTTGCTTCAAACTCCAAAAACACACATCAACGATTTTTTGGGATCTTTCTCCTTAAAGTACAGTGTAGAAATGTCCAGCCATGCAGATCTCTGTATAAAACCTTGTCCTCCTCCACATCATTAAATACGGAGGGGATGGGTGCATTTTGGAAGTAGGCTGCAGGAAATGCAGATTCACACACAGCACAACCAAAATCATGGGTCTAAGGACCAAAGCAGATAATAATTTTGGACATTATAATTGTCAGTTTAGGCATTCTGAAAAATGTGCAATTAAAAGGACTTTAATTATTACCTCCGCCAAGGAGGTTATGTTTTTGCCGGCGTTTGTCTGTTTGTTAGTTTGTTTGTCTGTTTGTTTGTTTGTTTGTTTGTCCGTTAGCAACATAACTCAAAAAGTTATGGACCGAGTTTGATGAAATTTTCAGGATTTGTTGGAAATGTGAAAAGGAAGAACTGATTTCATTTTGGGGCTGATCTGGAAGAAATCCTGGATTCTGGATCACTTTGAAATTTTAGTTAACATTGTGGTAAATGGGGCCAAAAATTTTGTTTCTCAATATCTCGGTTAATTATTGACCAAACCCCATGAAATTTGACTCAGGGATGGACAATCAGATTCTCTTTTATATTCCAAATTGAAAGATACGAGACAAATATTTATGGAAAACACAAATCATATGAGGGGGACTGTAGTCCTTGGCGAAGGTCTGCGCTCTCTGAGTGCTTTTCTGGTTTACAATTGTTAGGAGCCAGTTTCATTCAGTTGAAGGATTGGGTTGCTGTGACAATATGCCATTTTTAGTGACATTAGTTTAGTTAAAATATTAATTTCATATTGTAATTCAGTGTTTCTCTGTTAGTTGCAGCTCTGTGTACCAACATTCATTTTCCCCCACCCTGGCCTTTTTACATTTCTCAAATCCACAATTGAACTATCCTCTTGTTTAGAAGTAAAGGCTCTTCATATAGAGCCACAAACCTCTGTATCTAACTATGATAAAAAAAAAGACTATTATTATCAGTAGTCTATTATTAGAATGTCAATCGAGCAATAATTGAAATAGCCATTAGCAAATCTCTAAGATTACAGACTTTAATAATTGCAAACAACAAAATCTTATTATCTTTAAAAATAACTCCTTACTCTCAAATGTTTGTGATTTTTGTATTTTTGTAGTTTAGATTCAGGTTCCATTTTTTTTCTCTGATGTTAATGGTTCTAAGAAAGTTTAAAAGCATGCTGAACAGAATCCAAGAATTAAAACATAAATCATAATAAATATAATCTAATCACAAGGTTTAAAAAATCTCATTGACAAATTTTGCCAAAATCATTCAGCCCTAGTGAAAAACAAAGTGCATTAACAATAACACATGACTTACTGTTGGCCCTGTTCAGACCTCTAACCAAAAACAAATTATTTCATCTATGGCTCATTACTGACCTTTCCTGAAAATGTCACACATATTGAACCAAAGCTATGCATTTAGTTTAGTCTACAAACAAGAGCATGGCATTTTTATTAAACCTTAAGACTAAGCTTTACTGTGGCCCAGGGCTCCATACGTATTCCACATACCTTGACACATCCCCCCACCACACAAGTCCACACACATGCCAGATGCTGACTTCTCATAGAACCTCCCCTAATATCAACCATGACACTTTGGATGTGGGATGTCTCCAGTGCACCTCCTGCTGAGTAGAAACTGCCAGGGATTGCATTTAGAAAAAAGGAGACTCAGGCAGCAGCCCCCATCACTTCTGAACCATATGGTAAGATGCATTTATACAGTGGTATAAATATATTCACTACACAGCTGTTCAGGTCGAAATGGGTGAGAAAAGAATGAAATTGAAAATTATCTGCACTACAGAATTTGCCTCCAATAAGTGGTTCTATTTTTTTAAGATGCACTATGTTATTTTTCTAGTAGGTGGTCCGTAAACAAGTAGAGAAATACATGGTTCATCAGGTAAATGATATGAAACGCCAAATACGAAAACATTTTATACTGAAAAAACTACTTTGTTAATCATTAGATATATGAGATTCAGGCTATAATGCTCTAGTGAGGAAAAACAGTCAGGTCAAAATATGTGTGTCACTCAAGAAAGTCTATTTAGAAATGTTGTTCTCGATACTTTCTATAGGCTATTATTTTGTTCAAAACTATTTAAAGTACTTAGAAGTAGGGGTGTAGTAGCCTGGTACTGAAGTTTAAACTTAATCTTTTTATGATTAATTCACTCCACACTCAGCTATTTTGGCTTCCCAATAACTCATGTGCAAGAGTGTTCTTTGTGCATTATACTCTATTACCATCCTCCCACAACTTGTTAAATTTATTAAAATTCATTTATGAGTAATCAAGTTTTTACTCTTTCAGCAAATACAAGAGATTCCATTTAATCAACTTGTAATGCAAAATAAAACAACCATCCGTTAATTGTCAGAAATAAATTACTTTCTGTGATTGTTCTAGTAAAATGTGCGACCATACGCTTCTAATTCAAACTACAGATTGAATTTGCAGTGCACCGCAATTTACAAAATGTCTTCTGTACTCTATCAGGAAATTGTAATGACCCTTTAAAAGAACAAACATTGTAATTATAGATACTTGCTGGGCAGACCTAGAGCTGCTTTTTCTTAAGGGGCCATGTAGCCACATCTAATGGCATTGCTCACCATTCGTATTGGCTGACAAAGAACAGCTGATTATGAAAAAGTGTAGGATCAATAAAAGCAAGATAAGATACATAGATCTCATGAAAGGGCTGCCAAAGACCCCCTGCTTTTCTTCATCCCCTTTAGACCTCCTTCACTGCCTTACTCTTTAGCAAGATGAGAAGGCCCATAATTGACTGTGATCTCTCCAATTAGAATAAAAAACAGATCAATCGTACCACTTCTTTCACCTCATCCAATGCCTCATCCACATTCCTCTATTCTCAGACTGATGACAAAAAAGAACATTAGCCAACCTCTTTGATGCAAAAACACAAGAGGTGTAGGACTCATTTGTGTGAAACCTCTAAAGTAAAATAAAAAAAGATTGTCTGTTGTTAGAATTGATTTTCACAATAGAAAGCATTAATGTAGCAAAGATAAAGAAAAACATCATGATGAATTCTAATATCACAGCTTCATTAAATGTTAAACAAAGGAAAAGATGAAACTGAAGGCAATTGGAAGCAATATAATAATAGTTTTAAGTTATTTACAAAAGACAGCAAAAATCGTGCAGTGGACACTCGCCTTAAATCATTGATATTCAGCGTTATGGCATCAAGTTCTCATGAGTTGCAAAATCAAAAGCAATCAGAAAGTGTAATAACTGAAACAATCTCCAGCATGATTTCAAAAGGCACCAAATAGCGATCACTTGAGGAAGTTTATTCATAGAGGGCTCATTTATCAGTGTTGTTTCCCGCAGAGAGATTGACTGGGCATTTGTGTTGATGTTAGAAGCACACTCTTTATACGTACATTCTCAGCGGAGCAGAAAATGATCCTTGTTACTCTTCTGTGGCATGTCAGTGTGCCATTTCCTCCTCATATGGCTCAAACAGAGTTATGCATTTTTCATGAGGCTTTAAAACCCCAACTGCATCCTGTCTATTTTATTAGCATTTTAATCCCATTGCACATTCATCACGCATTCTTATTGGAGCGTTACTGACATAAGCTCTTCTCAAACTATAGATCTTCTTGTCATTTCTAGAGGTCAAATGGCAACTCAGTGTGCAGCAGAAGAACAACAATATATATATATATACATTTAT